CTTTCTCACTCACCTCTGTCTAACCCTAAATTATTCTTCGTCGATTCTATGAAATGTTGGTCATTAACATGGTATCAGAGCACAGATCTGTGATCGTCTAGTGTTGCGCTTCCGATCGATTCTACCCTCGCCGTTTTTCATCAGAGTTTTCGAAGTTCGGCAGTGTTCGTCGATTCGCTGGTTATTCCAGTTGATTTCTTTATTTCTGGTGGTTTATCTACGCGACGGAGTTTTTCGGCATCTAATGTGAAGGACTCGTCAATATTCTTCAAGCATTAGGTTGTTTCTGAGCTAGGGTTTTGAGCTATGTTTTTCTTATCATCGAAGGCCGTTCTCTTTCCGGTTGCGAAAGAGGCTGGTATATTTGTTCTCTTCTCCCTTATTCTGGTGATATTTTGCTGTTGCTCTCCTTCTATTAGCTGATTATATTTTGTTGTCAATATTGCGAATGGTAATTCCGATCCCACTCAGTCAACCCCTGCATCTTCCACTAGTTCGCGTACTATGTTTCATGAGGACAATTATACCCATCCATGTCACCCCTTATATGTTCATCCTTCTGATGTTCTTGGGACCTCTCTTGTCTCCACTCCTTTTAATGGAACTTGTTATGGTAGTTGGAGACGTACTGTCTTAGATGCTTTGTCTATTAGAAATAAAAGTGACTTCATAACAACTGGGAGACCTCCTGATGGGTCACCCTTAGCCAGACAATTGCAGAGATGCAATGATCTCGTCTTGGCTAATAAATTTTGTCTAAAGAAATTGCTCGAAGTGTAGAGTATTCTGAATTTGCTAAAGACATATGGAGTGAATTAGAAGAGAGATATGGTAAGGTTGATGGTGCCAGGGTTTTTTAGTTGAAAAAGGAACTGGCACATATCTCTCAAGGGTCACTCGATATAGCATCTTACTTCAATAAAATAAAACAGTTGTGGGATGAAATTGCCTCCATCTCTGCTGGTAGAGTGAGGGTTTGTACTTGTGGGGCCAAATCAGCTGAGGATGAGGAATAAAGGGCTTATCAATTTCTTATGGGTTTAAATGAAACTTATGTTCAGACCAGGAGTAACATTGTAATGATGAAGCTCCTCCTTTCTGTTGGTACAGTCTACAGAATTCTTTTGTCTGATGAGAAGCAGAGGCAGGTATCTGCTGGGACTTAGTTTCCCTCTAATTCTGCTTCTTTCACTGGTGGTATATTAAACTCTGCATCAACTTCCAACACTACTGTTGTGTCAAATCCTAACTTCTCTTCTAAGGTTTCTTTTGAGTCTACTAGGGATTCTGTGGTATGCAAATATTGCAAAAAAACCTAGTCATAATATTGACAGGTGTTATAAGCTGCATAGCTTTCCCCCCAATTTCAGACCTATAAAGAATTTGGGCCCTAAAAGATCAGTTGTTCATATTAAGCTTGAATCCAACACCATGCATGTATTTCAACTATGGAGTGCGGTGCTGATGTGTCTGAGTCTCAGAGTCTTTCTGCAACGCATGGCCTTACCAAGGACCACTATTCCTAACTGATGATGTTACTTAAGCAACAGGCCCAAATTACTGCTTCCCCTCTTGGTTCTAACCTCATAGGGTCTGCCAACTTTGCTGGTATGTTTTCCCCCTAGAAGGGAGTGTCTTATGGAGCCTGTATGTTAAGTAGAGTAGATGAAATAGTTTGGATAATAGATTCAGGAGCATCTGATCATTTGACTTCCATTAAAAGCCTGCTTTTCAACATAGAAAGCTTACATGTTCCTTACCTAGTTTCCCTTCCTAATGGATATAAAGTCAAAGTCACTATTATTGGTTCTCTAGCCTTATTTCCTGATCTTATTCTTCACAATGTGCTTTATATTCCTAGTTTCCAATACAATCTCATTAGTGTTCATTGTTGTGTCATGATGCTGATATTGTATAGTTTACCAAGACTGCTTGCACTCTACAGGGCCCTTCAGTGAAGAAACCAGTGGTGCTTGGTAGGCTAGACAATGGTTTTTACAAGCTCTTTCAGCAAGCTACTTCTGTTGTTCAACAGTGTTTTGTTCCACCTTCTTCTAGTTCTGCTAATTCACTTTCTTCTGTTAATACTTCTAGTTCTGTTTCTTGTTCATTTCCTGCAGTCACTTCTCATGTAACTAGTGATACATCTACTGTAAATACCATTGTTGTACCTAATAAAGTCAAGAATGTTGATGTTGTTTGGCACTATAGACTTGGGCATATCCCTTTCTCTAAAATGAAACTTATGAATAATATTGGTTGTACTTTTTTTTCTAAACAGTCTTTTGCTTGTCCTGTCTGTCCTTTAGCAAGACAAACAAGATTGCCTTTCCCTGACAGTTCTATACAAACTACTAAACCATTTCAATTGATTCATATAGATACCTGGGGTCTATATGCTACACCTACTTATAGTGGATCTAGGTATTTTTTTTTAACCATTGTTGATGACTACACTAGAGCTACTTGGACTCATCTAATGGGTGCCAAGAGCAATGCTTTTGACCTTCTCAAAGGATTCATTGCCATGGTTAACACAATTTCAGTCTATAGTCCAAACTGTTAGGAGTGATAATGCCCTTGAATTGGGGTCCAGTATTGCAGGTTCTAACTATTTTTCTAGTAAATGGATTATTCATCAAACATCCTGTCCATTCACTCTACAGCAAAATGGAGTGGTAAAGAGAAAGCATAGACATCTACTTAAAACAGCTAGGGCTCTTCTTTTTCAATCTCATCTCCTTATTCAGTTATGGGTAGATTGTATTCTTACTGCCACATATTTAGTCAATAGGTTTCCTTTTGTTTTACTTCTTGGGAAAAGTCTTTATGAACTGTTGTTTGGGTACATGCATACTCTCACCTTACAGGCTTTGGGTGCCTTTGTTACTCTACTGACACTAAACCTCATAAAAACAAATTTTATCCTAGATCCATTCCATGTGCCGTTGTAGGGTATGCTTTTGCTCATAAAGGATATAAACTATATAATCTCTCTAGTTAAGCAGCTTTCACCTGTAGGGATGTCGTTTTCAAGGAACACATCTTTCCCTTCCTTAATTCATTTGTTGGTTTACCCACTTTTTCCTCTCCTTTCCCTTCAGCCAATCTTTACTTTTCTCCTCCTTCCTATCTTTCTTCTTCTTCATCCTCTTCCTCTTCTCTTTCATCTTCTCCCTCTACTTCTTCTTCTCCTGCTTCTTCCTCTCCTTCCTTTTCTGATTTTCATTCATCTTCTTCCAATCCTTCCAATCTTTCCAATCCTTCCACTTTTTCATCTCCTACATCTGATCTTCCCTTGAGAAGATCTTCTAGGCCTCATAATCCCCCTACTTATCTTAAAGACTTTGTTTGCCACTCTTCTTCTCTGATATCTACCTCCAGTCATGATGCTCCCTCTATTACTCAACTTCATATTCCTGAGCCTCACTCTTACTCCCAAGCAGCAACTGTCCCTGAGTGGGAGGATGCTATGAGGAAGGAATTTGAGGCTTTGTAGGCTAACAAAACTTGGAAAATTATTGAGCTGCCCCCTGGCAAAAAGCCTATTGGCTGCAAATGGGTTTATATGGTAAAGTATAAAGCTGATGGGAATACAGAGAGCTATAAGGCTAGGATAGTTGTAAGGGGTGATACTCAAGTGGAGGGTGTTGACTTCCATGAGACTTTCTCCCCTGTTGTCAAAATGTCCACTATTAAGACCTTAGTTGTTGTGGCTGTCAAGAAAGGTTGGCCTATATTCCTATTTGATGTCAACAATGCATTCTTGTATGGTGATCTTGATGAAGAAGTTTTTATGAAACTCCCTCCTAGTCTTTCTGTTGGGTCTTCTTCTTCTTCTGCTCCTCTAGTATGCAAGCTTCAGAAGTCTTTATATGGGAAGAGGCAAGCTTCCAGACAGTGGTATGCAAAACTATCTCAAGCCTTACATTCTAGGGGTTATGTGCATTCACTCAATGATTATTCTTTGTTCATCAGGGGTTCTGGCAGCTCCCTGGTTATCTTAATTGTCTATGTGGATGAATTAAAGGCACTTCTCACTTTGGCCTTTTCCTCTCCTGATCTCCCGTTACAGGCTTATTGTGATAGTGATTGGGGCTCTTGCCCTGACAGTAGGAGATCTGTTTCTGGTTTTTGCATATTCCTTAGTGGTAGTCTCATTGGATGGAAGTCGAAGAAGCAGGCAGTAGTCTCCTTGTCTTCAGTTGAGGCTGAGTATAGGTCTATGAGCAAGGTTGTGGCTGGAATCACTTGGGTATTCAGGCTCCTGTCTGACCTTGGAGTTGTGCTTTTGTTCCTCTTGTTCCCCTTTATTGTGATAGTCTCTCAGCCATTCACATTGCTCGCAATCTAGTCTTCCATGAGTGGACCAAACATATTGAGTTGGATTGTCATTTTGTGCGTAGCAAGCTTGCTGAAGGTCTCATCAGCTTATCTCACACATCCAGTGCTTCTCAACTCGTTGATGCCTTCACTAAACCCCTGGGTGGGCCTTCTCTTCATCTCCATATTCACAAGTTGGGGGTTCTCTCACCCTCCAACTTGAGGGAGCTGTTGGGAGTCTAGATCTGGGCTGAAGCAGATGCAGGCTAAGGCCCATGCTTATTATTTATTTATGTACATTAGTTTAGGCCCATTTATTTTGTAACATTGTTAGCCCATAGTCCATTTTAGTCTCTTTTCTTTTACTCAGTATTGGGCCATGTATATATAGAGAAAGACCCGGTTGTAACACAGTAGTAATTCATTTTGCTTGTTCTATCAGAAAATATCTCGAATTTTCTTTCACTTGCGTAACCCTAGATTCTTCTTTGTCGAATCTATGAAAATGCTGGTCATTAACAGATAAAGATTGAAACATCGTTATAGAGCTTTCGAACTGGACCACGCGAAAGACACTACTGCATACAGTAGATTTTTGGCATACAATGTGAAATTAGCATTGTTATACCTCAAGGTTGTGTCATGCAAAAGCAGTTTATCAAGTACTCAATAGTAACTCGTTTTATTTTCTCTCTTTGTATATGTTCTCTTTTGAATGTACAAAGGGGTTAATTTAACATACAAGTATTGTAATTTAACTGCTGGTGGTGCTTGTATTTTGATCCCCTTAGACATGAATTATAATGATTTTATCTCTCCGCAAAAATAGCATTAGAAATACTCTCCATTTCTCCTCTTTGAGTTGCATCTTGCGAGACTTCTACTGGTCCATTTATGCCTGAGAAAACCTAGAAAAAATCAGCCACAATTAAACAACTAAAAAAAGTAACTGTGTGAGGAAGCGATCTTCATTTAACCAGTTACAATTTGAATAGAAGAAACCTTACAAAGATTTCATGTGTTTTATTACTCATCTCCTTTGAAAATGTACATATTACTAAAATAACACTTGTAAAGGAACGTAAAACCGATCTCCTGAAATTGTACATTCAATTCTTTACATTTAATGTATGGTTACATCTTACATCTAATGAAAGATAATGGAAGGCAACAATCGACAAGCTGGTGTGGCTTTCTTTACCATAGGCCCTTATGGTCCGGCCCTTCCCCGGACCCCGCGCATAGCGGGAGCTTAGTCGGGCTGCCTTATTTTTTTTATATTAATAAATTGCTAAAATTCTTAGATGCAATCAATGGTTTGAAAAAATGCACACAGCTGAATGAGCCATTTCCTATATATGGTCCACTGAAATGAGTGCTAAGGACTTACCAACCCACTAAGCAGCCCGCCCCACTAACCAGACGGGCTATCTTTGACATTGGCACAAATAAACTATAAACAAAACAAAAAGAAGGAAGAAGAAGGCAGCTAAGGATTCAAATCTTGTTTACTTGTTTGGCACAATAGACAATAGTTATCAAAGTATTGCATGAAACTTCCCCAGAAGTGACACTAGGTTTTTTTTTTTTTTTAAAAAAAAAAAAAGTGACGCGCTGAAATCTTTCCTCATGAGAAAGGGTCTGAAGTCATTGATGGTGATAGTCAAGGTCTTCTATTTTTTTTTTCCAAGCTTACCTTTAAGTCAATCAAATTGCAAGCAATATTTTGATGCAAATTAGAGAAAAGAACAAATGAAGTAATATTAAAATAGAGCAAAAATAGGCACAGAAGGACAAGAACGACATATTAAAAGAATAAAATAAAAAAGCTGAAAGGGAGATAACAAGAAAAGTTGTTGCAGAAAATTTCACTCAAGTGTCTGCATCAATTAGTGCACTAAATTTTTCTTCAAGAGAAAGGTATGATTTTCAGTTTGCACTAGGAATCTGAAGTGTTTGTGCAAAGATAGTTGTTTTTTCCTCTCTTTTTTTCCTTTTTCTCTTTTATGTAAGGATATATTGATTCTTGAATCATCAACCTCCTCCTCTTATATATAGTCTGATATATCTTATAGTCTTGTCAATATTCAGTCATCAAGTAGGTAAAGTAGGCATACGAACCAATTTGCCTAAACTCTATCGGAACAAAGCAAAGAAAGAGGCGGAATAGACAAGGGCGATCTTGCTTGGCGCGAAGGCTGCTGGTTCGGAGGTAAAGTACAGTACTGAAGTTCCTCGGACTTCCAGGCAGTTTTTCTTTTGTGCAGCTGTTCACTGTTGGATCTCGCCAATACAGCTCCCTATAGTTTTCATTTGGTCTATGTAACTAAATACAAGTTGGTAAAGATGCAGAATATGACTAGCAAGATAGTATATTGGTGGTTGTTGATTTTGTTCATAGCAAATGGATGGTGGTGCTGTTATTGTTGTTGGAAAGAAGAAAGGACTGCTCTCTTGCAACTCAAGGCAAATATAAACTACACAGGTGGTAGTAATTTGTCATCGTGGGTTGCGAACGAAACCTCAGATTGTTGCCAATGGGAGGGAATTGTTTGCAGCAACACCACCAAAAGAGTCAGTGAGTTGGCCATTACTGTCAAGAAAATTAGTCAAGAAGAACAACTTAGGACTAATGGTACAAATTCTGATGATATTTTGAAGAACTGGCTTTTCAATGCATCTTTATTTATTCCCTTCAAAAATCTCAATGCTCTGCTCCTCCCTGGACATTCATTGGCCGGTTGGGCGAAAAATGAAGGTTCGTTCTTTCTATATACAACTATAACAATAACAAACCCAGTGTATTCCCACAAGTAGGGTCCGAGGAGGGTAGTTTGTACGCAGACCTTACCCCTACCCCGCCTTTAAAAAGCAAGGAGGTTGTTTCCGGTTATATACTAGGCACAAAGTTTTCTTAAAACTTGTGACCTTAAACATGCTATAACAATTCCATGGTTATAAGAGCATGTCATTACGAGTAAAATGAGAAATTTACAGTTCAAGAGATTTCAAATATAAAAAAAGGTGTCATTCTCTTTTAAACAGACTAACAAGAAAAGAATATCATATAAAATGAAACAGAGGGAGTAATACATATCTACAAAATGGTCCTGCCTATCCACATAGGACTTATTAGTATGATCACAATAATTTGAACTACAACTTCCAAATGTTAACTATATACTGGTTTAAGAATGTTAAGTTTAAAGTATAGTCTATTTGACTGTCGAAAACTTGTCTCTGACATGTAATTTAGCATGTCTGTTTAACAAGTTTCTTGATAATTTCATTACAGGTTTCGAAAAACTGAGACAACTGAAGAAACTAGAAAGACTTGATTTATCAGGGAATCAGTTGAATCGCAGCATCTTTCAATCTCTTAGTCAACTTACATCTCTCAAGTCATTGAACCTCTCACACAACAATATTGGATCAGGTTCCGACATATGGTTTGCACACAACAAAATTGGATCAGGTTCTGAGAGATTGTCAGGCTTAAACAAGCTGGAAATCCTAGATTTGAGCAATAACAATCTAGATGATGAAAATATTCTCTCTACTTTAGGTAATTAAACTTGTATAGTTTCCCTTTTCCTTCTTTTTTCTTGGTAGCTTCATAACATAATTGTAATTATAAATTCCTGGACAGAGCTAAATACATCTAGAATGGCGTTGAAGAAGCTCGATATAAGGTACAACGCATTCCGAAGTTTTATACCAAATGAAGGTACACATACTTCCTGAAGTTTCTTCTTTCAGTTGATTTTATTCTACCCCATATATGTCTCGCTGTGCAAATATTTGATTTACACGCAAAGACGTTATCTTAAATATATAGATGTACATGAGCTGTAACTCTCATTATCTACATCTTGGTTAACAATATGCTGTTCCACCATTTTAAGGGTCATTTTCAAGACGCCATTATCATCAAGTCATGCATTTACATTTTAAAGCATACTTTTTTCACACCTAAAACTACATGTTGAGGATTCTTCTATGTTTCTTTGGCATGTAAGAGTTGGGAGCTTTAAGAAATATAGAGTACTTACTGTTGGATGGAAACACGTTGGACGAAAACTTTCTCAGGAGCAGTGGTGTAATGTCATCTCTTAAAGTATTATCAGTAGCTAACTGCAACCTCAACGGAACCCTACCTCGTCAAGGTAATTTCAGATACAGCATTCACCACATTATCTTTTACACAACTAATATACTTGTTCATCTTTATAGGCTGGTGTGATCTAAAATATCTGGAAGAACTAAGTCTTAGCAGAAACAGCTTCACTGAAAAACTCCCTACATGTCTAGGAAACTTGATATTTCTTCGGGTATTGGATCTGACCATGAATCAGTTTACTGGAAACATTGCTTCATCTCCGCTTTCAAGTCTCTTGTCCCTTGAATATCTCCTGTTAGCAAACAACAACTTTGAAATACCAATTTCATTCGCGTCATTTGCTAACCATTCAAAACTTAAGTTCGTCACTGCTGACTACAACTCAGCAATTGTACAAACTTCTTCCAAAAGCTGGATACCAAAGTTTCAATTGGAAGTCTTGTCTTTAAACAACTGCTCTCAAATGCCAAGTTTCCTTCATTATCAACGTCATTTAAGGCTTCTTCGTCTCTCAAAATGCAACATTGGTGGAAACTTTCCAAATTGGTTGTTAGAAAACAATCCTAGACTTGCAGAAGTTTTATTGGACGGAAATGCATTCACTGGAATTCTTGAATTGCCACTCCTTTCTAATCTAAAATCTTTCGATATCTCCAACAACAAGATTCAAGGACAACTTCCTCCTAACATTGGGTCTATTTTTCCAAATCTTGTGATATCAACGATGTCCAACAATATGCTTGAAGGCTTGTTGCCTTCAAGTTTTGGTGACATGAAAGATCTTGCAGTCTTGGATTTGTCTTACAATAAGTTAATAGGAGACCTACCAATTGGATTGGCTCGTAAAGGATCCAAGTTAAATTTTCTGAGATTGTCAAATAACATGTTGAAAGGGGAAATATTTCCAATTTCAGCAAACATCAACAATTTCGAATATTTATACTTGGACAGGAACAACTTCTCAGGCTCAATTCCGCAGAAGTTATCCACTGCTCCTTTGATTACATTGGATTTAAGTTACAATAACTTGTCAGGAAACATACCAGCGTGGCTTGGTAACATCCCCTCCTTAACCTCCCTCGCGTTGTCCAGAAATCATCTAAAAGGCCATATTCCACCTGATTACTGCAGACTTGAAGGACTTGAGGTATTAGATCTCTCTGACAACAGCCTTGTTGGCGTGATCCCGTCATGTTTCAATGCTTCTCTCGGCTTAAAACGTGTGTACTTGAGCAAAAACAAGTTACAAGGGGAATTCAACATGTTCTCGAACTCAGATCTAAAAGTCCTGGATCTTAGAGATAACAACTTCAGTGGTTCCATTCCGAAATGGCTGGGCAGTACTCTTGAGATAACCACCTTACTCTTGAAAGGAAATCGTCTTATAGGCACCATTCCAACACAGTTATGTCATGCAAGTAACTTAAGAATTTTGGATCTATCTCACAATAATCTCTCAGGAACGATACCTCATTGCTTGGGAAGCTTAATGCAACAAGATATGTTAATAGAACTATACCCATACAGTTCATCATTTGCATATCCAGGATTCCAGAAGTTTGGAGACGACACCTTGATAAACATAGAATCCTCTATTGAATCATCATCGACAATTTTCTTTTTAGATAGTTATGCATGGGTTGGAGCAGAGTTTACGACCAAATATAATACCTATTCCTACGAAGGTAGCATTGTTGATTATATGTCTGGAATTGATCTTTCTTGCAATCAGTTAAGTGGTGAAATGCCTAAGGAACTCAGTAATCTTACTGAGATTCGGGCACTAAACTTGTCACATAACCACATAGCTGGAACAATACTATCAGAATTCTCAAATCTCCAGAATATCGAGAGTTTGGACCTGTCATACAACCACTTGTCTGGAAGGATTCCTACACAACTTTTAGAGTTGACAACTCTAGCAGTGTTTAGCGTGGCACATAACAATTTAACAGGTAGGACTCCACAGAGTACAGCGCAGTTTGCAACTTTTAATGAAAGCAGTTATGAGGGAAATCCTTTTCTTTGTGGTCCTCCATTACACATCAAATGTATGCCGACTAAAGAGATACCAATATCACCTCCTGCGCCAGATTGCTGGGAAGATGATACTGGTTTTCTTGATAAGGAGTCATTCTATATTTCCTTTCTTCTGGCATATGCAAATGTAGTGCTCGTAGTGGTTGTAGTCCTCTGTGTAAACCCCTACTGGAGAAATGTTTGGTTTTATTTTGTTGAGTCTTTCATGTATTCTTGTTACTACTTTTTTGCTACCAAAATGTAAACTGTACATATTAAGGTCATTGATAAGTTAATCATGCCTGAGTTCTGTTCCTATACCTTCTAGTTTCTTAGTACCAAGAAAATGATTATCGAGATGCTACTATCTGCTTTCCTAACAAATTCCAAATGAACATAACCATTTCAAAAATCATCAGCAAATACAAATCTTTTCTACTCTAGAACACAAATACATGATAAATGTCACTGTTAAAAGAACATACCTCAGCAAATTTAAGGAAAAGACTGCATAGCCGCTGTAAAAATTAGGTCCACGTAATAATCCATAACGATCAAAGTTGAAGCATCATCCTATTGGTCAAGCAAATTCAATGAAACAATAACTGGTACTATAGAGAAGCAGCCATAAACTAGAGTCTTGATCAATTTGAAAGATATAAAAAAAACTGAATTTTGAGTTGTCCGATCAAATAAAGGGAAACTGGAATTCATAAATGCCTTAAAACTATTTCAAGGTTGACTTTTAGTTAGATTCATTTATGTAATGGTCATTCAATTGCTTGTTGAGAAAGTAAAGGAGCAAACCACTTGGATAGTGAGAGTACAAGGGAAGAAGGACCAAGTACGAAGTCAATGGTTGCTTTTATTCATTTTCAAAAAGCATTAAAAAACGTACTTTTGTATTATCAATTAGAAAGTCTTCCTTTTAGACGATTATATCAACTAATGAACTTAACATTTTTAATAAAAGTAAAACTAAAGTTACTTATCTACTATGCTTGGTATAAATTTGTGTCCGTAACTTCTCTTCCCGACCGCATTCTTTCTCATAATAGATTATCTATTTCCATTCAGAAAAAAAACTAGCAAAATGGCAACATTTTCAATTATTACGGTCTCCAGAAACCAAATCTAAAAGTGTAGTAAACATAGAATACAAAAAGAAAATAAACATACCTTTATAGTTTAAAGTCATACTCATCTCAATGTTTATTAATTCCATCATATAATAGACACATTTTCAACTATTCCAGTCTCCAGAACCCGAACCTAACAGTGTAATGAACATCCAACACAAAAAAAGAATGGACGTCTTATACTTTAAAGTCATATTCATCTCAATGTTTATCTATAGTAAACAAGAATTAGTCATCACTGTGGATTTTTCTTAGCCCCCATTTGTGTGTGTGGGGGGGTGGGGGGGGGGGGGATCAGCAGAAAAAGAATTGTAAGCCTCCAACTTCAAAAAACGCCTCACCACCGAAAATCAAAATGATTTCTCAACTCCTCTTGTCTTTCTGTCTTCTTTCATTACATGCCTTGAGAGCCTGAACTTCTGCAACCAACCAGTTTTCAAATAAATTAGAAAGCAAAAACAATTCAGCACGCATTTTTTAAATTTCCCTGACCGTGTTAATCAAACTGATATTTTAAACAAGGGAATCTCAGTACACACATATGTACAGACACACCTGAACACAAAAGTGTGCACTTCTGTCATACTGAATCACAAGCCGGATGAAACATGCACATGTGATTCTGAGTAGAGATCCCGGTATACTATGTTCCAATCCGCCACTTAAAACTATTTCTTAATATTCCACTTAACTTGGATACTGTACTAACAGCTATGTTACATGAACTCTCCAAAGATGTTGCCGCACCTGTGCCGGATCTTCCAAAAATATAGTACTTTTGAAGGATCCGACACATCCGACACACACCCAGCAGCATTTTTGAAGAGTCCAAATAACATGACTAACAGTGGTAGAGCTACCTATTAGGAAGGGGGTTCAATTGCATCCCTTTCGTTTAAATAGTATTATATTGCATAAAAAGGGTAAAAATAACACCTAAGGGTATGACCTAGTGGTCAGTAAAGTAGGTTGAGAACCATGAGGTCTCAGGTTCAAACTAGGTGATTTCTTTCCATTTGTCACAAAATTTGATGGACAAGAGTCACGTGGTACATATGCTGGTGGGAGACGATAGGCGCAAGGTGGTCCGGACGCGGTTTTCAGAAAAAATGGTAAAATATTTTTTTTTGTATATCTATACATTATTGAATCCCCTTGACAAGCGATAAATGTTGTATTCTAGCATTTTTTGAATCCCCTTCCTGGTTCTGCCAGTGTGTACTAAAATACGTAGGTTTCATACAACCACCACAACTACTACTGCACATATGCTATATGAATCCTCATTATTCATGTCGCTCCGTTTAAGCCATTTTGAGTAGAAATTATTATGACCCTTGTTACTCGTTTTCATCATGGTCTTTAAGATAATCTATTCAAAACTAATCTCAGTTTGATCCCCTAAAGCAGAAGCTATAAATAACAACAAAGAGAGCAAACGCAAACCACTACAAGATTCCTAAATTTTGCATTCCAATTTAAATACTGCATTTTTTCTCTCTTTCTAAATGCTAAAACTCGTATTCATCAACGAAAAACTTAAAGAAAATACCCGTTTGACACTAATGGAAAGAACAAAATTTCAAGCAAAATAGAGAGGGAAACAATAGAAGATACCCTTTTGACACGACTTCCAATTCCTGTCAGTATTTATCAGACAATCCTGCAAATATAAACCCTTTGATCAGTTCCATTTCAGGGTTTAGGGTTTTAGAATTTCATACTATTATTTCCTAAAAGCGAAAATTTTAAAATATTTAAAGAACCTGTAAAGATAAGTATAGAGAAGAGCATTGGTTGAGCTGCTTCACAGTCTCATCATCTTCGTCGGCGTCGTCCTGGTGCAGCGGCGGCGGCAACGGTGGCGAAGAGGGTGGCGCGTTGGGAGTTTGCTTTCGGTCCATATATGTCATCAATGGTTAGCTACTTTAATTGGGACAACTTTTTAGTGGGTCATTTGACCGTATAAAAGTGAGAAATTCAAAAGAAATTTAGGATGGTTAATTAAAAAATAGCCACAGTTTCAAAAGTAATTAAATTTAGCCATTTTTTTATGGTAAAGTTCAAAATCCAAAAATATTCCAGCATAACATGCGGGAGTTCGAATTTTTTATATGTGAACTTCGAGCATAACATGCTGGAATTTCATAATATGCTGGAGTTCCAACATAATTTGCTGTAAGTCTATACACAGGTGCTCTAATTTCCAGTATATTATGCTGGAACTTTCCGTGTGCTAGAGTTCCAACATAATATGATAGAAGTTCATACACCAGTGCTCCAATCTCCAGTATATTATGCTGGAACTTTCCATGTGCTGAAGTTCCAACATAATATGATGGAAGTTCACACACATGTGCTTCAATCTCCACTATATTATGCTGGAAGTCTAGAACTTTCTGTGTTGCAGCAAAATAGTGGCTATTTTTCAATGACTTTGCAAACACTGATTATTTTTCAATTATTAATCCAAAAACTGAATAGCCGTGCTATTTTAACCGTATAAAAGCCCAACGGGACATATTGCAAATTTTCCAAACCTCCTCCCTTTTATTTAATTCTTTAATATATTTATTTCCAAATTGCACTAGCTAAATACTTTTTGATTACAAAATAAGAAGAAAAAAAATATTTTGACCTATTCAACGGTGTAGTCAGAAGGGTTTACTTTCTTGAGTTATAGCCCAATGTCCCATTAGGGTGAGAGTGGGTCGGGGTGTAGGAGGTGGGTTGGCGAGATGGGGAATATGGCGGGGAAGATTGAAAACGGGCTCAGAAGAAAATATTTTTAATGTCAAAATTTTAGAAGACATTATCTAAAAATGAGGAATTAAAGTGATAATTTACGTTATACAATAAAAGAAGAGAAAACGTTTTACTTCATAGCAGAAGATTTGCTTCATTTAAAAAAGTAAAACTATAAGTATTGGGCTAATACTTATTATTATTTAAGAGATAAAATCTTCTGCTCTATAAGTCTACATGTTAAGGATTATTATTATTCCATTCAAAGTTGGATCCCTAACATGTTCTAAATGAACTATAAGTCTACGATAGTTCCCATGGAAAAGAACCGAGGCACAAAGAAAAACCACGGGGGATTATTACTACCTAAAGAAAGCTAAAAGACATATTTTTGTATTTTTTTTTTGTTTAGACTTTTATCCCTCAAGAAAGCTGTCTAGAAGATCCATCGTCGGGAAAAGTCCAAATCTTTCAAAAAAAAAATCATTTTCCTTTTTTTAAAAAAAAAAAAAAAAAAAACCACTACAACTAAACTAAGATAGCACAGAAGATCACCCAGACAATCTCCTCACCCCACACTTAAAATTATGCAATGTCCTCAATGCACACTGAACATAACAAGAGGGTAAAAGAAACTCCCTGGTAGGCCAAAGGCCGAAGAATTAGCAGCTCACGGGATACTCAGACTTCTCCCAGGTATGATCCCTTGTGTGGGTACCTCACGCTTAGTTTCAACCACCTGCTCGCTTTAGCACATGCCTATTGGCTTTGACTCCATGCTCCTACTCTTACAAAACACAAAATAATACTACAAAAAAAATTAACACAATAAAATAAACAAAAGGAAAAAAATAGAATTGGGTTGCCTCCCAACAAGCGCTTGATTTAACGTCGCAGCACGACGCCAACACTCTCATCACTTTTCCTTCCACTTTGAGGATATAAATTGCGCCCCCAATTTTGCATCAATTTGCTGTCACGTTCATGAGGCGGTGGTGTGAAAATAAAGGAACCAAGCAATAGATATCGCATCTTGCACTTCTTGGCCCTTAAGTGAGGAATGTCGTTTTGTCTCCTTGGCATCGCAAATTTCAGAATATAAACACTTTGTTCCTCATCCATTGACTCCTCTATATGCTCGAATAGATCAATTCCCATGTCACCAACCAAACACAATGTTGAAAAATGTTTAGAATGAGGTCCAATACGCTCCAACTCCAGAATTGCATTATTTTTGACATCCTCAATTTTGAGCTCTTCGTCAACCTTGGCATCATTAATAATATTTTGGTCGAATAGTTGGAATTCCTCTTTCCGCTCCAAGAGCTGGCCAGTATCCACAAAAATTGATTGTAGGGCATCAGACGCCTCAACCTTTTTATTCAATTGAGCATGCAAGTCATAGATATCTTAGTCAAATTGGTCTATCTCTTGCCTGAGCTCAGTTCTTGTTTCTATTAGTTGTTCTGTCATATTTGAAAGACCATCACGGAGAAACTCATGAGATTTTATAAGTTGAGCTTGTTTCTCTAGCCAAGATTGGCTCACTATATCGGCTTCTTCAAAATTATTTTCTGGTGGGAGCTCGCTCTCTTCAGCCACTTCCTCCGTCTCGGCCTTTATTCTCATGATTGATGCACTAATTCTTTGTGCAGCCTTTCAATTTTCATCTTGTAGCTCGACTACTTACCTCAGAATATCCCTAAAATATGCATCACGTTCCATATCCTGTACTTCATTGCTCCTATCAAACTCATAAACATTATTAGAAACATCATAATAAGAGCTCTGAGAAGGATAATAAGAATTAGGACAACCATCCCAATGGCCACCTTGACCACCACACATATTACAAATATTCCACCCATAAGATTGAGATTCACAATTTTGCCACAAGTGCGGTCCTCCACAATATGGACAAGGATCACCATAATAAGGATAATCAATATTCGACCAATTATCATTCCAATATGCCATATCAACAAAGATAATAAAATATTAAACTAAGATAAAAATAAAAAGAAACTTGAATAGACAAAAAGTAAAAATCTAACCTAGTAGACTAGTTAATTTCTAAGTCCCCGGCAACGACGCCAAAAACTTGTTGCGGCCAAACGCACACGCAAGCGCACGCGGTCGTCAAGTAATAAGTGACTAAAAGTCGGGTGTCGATCCCACGAGGACTTGTGATTAACAATTAACTAAATTAGATTCTCCTAATTATCTAAACAAGAATTAAACCTAGAAGTATTTGATTCTAAACTAATTAAATAAATAAAAACAAATAATGAACTTTTAACAGAGAATGAGCAGATTTTTATGATATCAATGTAATGAAAACGATCTAGGGTTATGGACTATCTAACATTCCTATTGTATTCTTCAATTGAATTGACTAACCAATTTATCTAGTTTATTGGTTGACAGGGTTAATATTGCTCATAAGAATCTATCGAGTCCTTACTCGCCTATTCAAGCTAACCTAACGCCTATATGTCTATGGAATTAGAATCAACAAGAACGCATTTATAATTCCTGTAAATCAACCAAGTAAGGCAATTAGGTATATGTCTATCCTAACCGCGAATCCGTTCCCCGAGGCCCAGGTTCAAGAACTTGCTCTACTCAATCCTATATGCAATCTAGAATTCCCACTTTCGAGTTCAACTCTAGATTCGTAGATAGTATTCAATTGGTGATCAAGCAATCAAATAATTAAGTGCAGGATTGAATAAATAAACCAATATGATAAACTAAGAAATCAAAATCAATATCCGAATAACAATAGTCATGAAAGAACCACAACCCTAGAACGTGAAGTTTAGCCCCACATAGACATGGTAGCAAAACAACAAATCATACAAAGAAACATAAAAAGACTAAGTTGGACGGAAGAAAAGATGAAACCCGGCCTCCACGGCGGCTCTGTGCTTGTGTTTTCCTCTCAAAAACATCCTCCTCTGTATATATACCAAGTAGGGTTGGGCCCAAACAATTATACCTTCTCCAATGTGAAAAGGACACTTTTCCCGGGTGAGACGCGCGACTTCGTGCCCTCTTCGCGCACCTTTCTGCCTCGACTTGTAATACGCGCGAACTATGCGCGACTTCGCGCGTTTTTCACCCTGTTCCGATCCGAATTTGGAAAAACGTAAAACATGAAAGTTGTGCTCTTTGAGTTAGCTTTCCAACCACATATTGTGGAGCCAAAATGGAGTTCTGAGCAAAAAGTTATATCTATTTTACTAGACAGTACGCAATCTGCCTACTGAAGTCTTCGTTTGCTCTAACTATCATCCGTTGACCTCCAAACACGATCCCGGCTTAATTCCTTGAACTTTTACTCAAACTTTAAAGCTCAAAATCACTTGAACTCATTCCATAACATCTACATAGCTCGGAATCACTCCTACAAGGCATAAAACACACCATTAGTGCAAAACACTAGCGATTAAAGCTCAAACTCAATTAAAGTGCAGTAAATTAGAGTATAATAATCGACTAAAATACGTAATTATAGCCTATCATCAATACATGTTAAGGATCCAGCTTTGAATGGAATTATTTGAGAGATAAAATCGTAGAAGTAGTATTAGTAATAGTAATAACAACAACAACAACGACAATAGTACTATCTAATGATGATAACAACAATAATAAAATAGCAAAAATAACGGTACTAATTAGATTTATTTTGGGATAAAAATAGTAAAATAAATGTTCTTACATTATTAATGTTATTAGAAGCTCAAAAAGATAGTTTGAAAGAAAGGAGGGACAGAATTGGATGTCAACAGTGCTCTGATACCATGAAGAAGATTTGAGATTAGCTCGATTGAAAGGAGAGAAGAAAAATGAACCAGAAGGTTCTAGAACAAACGCTCTATTGGAGAGCAAATTGAGCTGAAATTATTTTCTCAAATCATACTAAATACAATGACATGTGGCTAGTATATATACACTACAACTACTAGCTAGGCTAATCAATTTTACTGCTTCCGCTAATTCTCTAACACCAATCCCATAATTAGCTATAACTAACTTCCTGACTATACTCACGTGTCAGTCACATGCTACTCCTCTCTTCAATAACAACAACTACAACCTAGTAAAATTCTACTAGTAGGGTCTAGAGATACCAGTGTATACGCAGACGTTACCCGTGTCTCGTCAATAGTTTGATATGAA